ATTCTAAATCACAATAATAATTGACTCAAGTAGGACAAAATGATATTACTGTGTCTGTCTATCCGTATAGGCATAGCTTACGAAGAAAGTTGAAAAGAAAAAAGCGCCGTACTGGATCTCAGCCTACCCTGCCTTAGTGACAGCTGCAGGTCACCTCGTGCAACACCTATTCGGACAAAAAAAACGACGAAGAATCATAGATCCGCCGAACACAAGAATTTTTTCGATCTAATAAAAATTATATAAAATATTAGCCACAACAGAAGTTTGACCATGTGATGTCTAACGTAACAATGGTGTTGAGTTTCGTGAAACGTGACCCTCATACACGTGCACGTGTACTTATAAACCACCATTTTGTTATTTTTTTTATTTATTTAAAGTTGTATTTTTCCTCGAATTGACAAGTTGGCAGGCTTTTTCGTCATTATAATTATGGGTTTGTGTTCCATTTATAATCAATTTTTATGAAAAAAATATTCCAATTTAGAGCACATTATTTACACATTTTTAACTTAAATATAAAAGGATTTTTGATTCTTTTCTTTTTGGTTGCAGAGTATGCTTATACATTGAGGGTAGATGAGAAAAGTGATGTGTATAGTTTTGGAGTTGTACTTTTGGAGCTTGTCACTGGGAGGAAACCTGTTGGTGGTTTTGATGAAGGTGTAGATATTGTTCAATGGGTGAAGAGGACTACAAATTGTTGTCGAGAAGACGTTACTCTCATTGCTGATCCAAGGCTAGTACTTGTACCTAAAGATGAAGCAATGCACTTATTTTTCATTGCAATGCTATGCATACAAGAAAATAGTGTTGAACGTCCCACAATGAGAGAAGTGGTTCAAATGCTATCAGAGTTCCCTCGCCATTCTCTAGACTCTCAATCTTCTTCTTCCTCAATGGTTCATCTTCAATCGAAGAATCTAGAAAAACAAAGGTTGCCTTAAAAATAATAAGATAATTATCCTTTTTGAAACTTTTTATTTTTTTGTTCTTTCCTTTTATAGAGATTATGAATGATGTTTGTTTTAGCATTAGTATGTGCATTCAACTGTAATTTTTTTTTCTTCATAATTGTTGAATGAGATTTAGGGCATCGGAGATTTTGTTGGCAGGATAGAGTAGGAATAAATTGTAGGGCACATTGCTTTTCGAAAGGTAAATGTGCCCTTAGGCCGTAGGTAGAGAGAGCACATTCCATGCATCATATATATCCTAATGTAAACATATGTAATATTTGACTGTTGATTAAATTTTTCCTTCTTTTATCCATTCTAAAGCATTTGAAGTCATAATTGTTTTTCTCTTTTCAATAACATTACTGTTGTTCTTGACAAAAAGCACAAGGCAACATAGTAATTAATGAGCGTGCGCATGTCACTTGAGAAGGAGCCAGACGCTCATTCAAATATAACGATCATTGCAATAATTGTGCAGGTGCATTGATGATATTTGTACACCAAATTTGTTTATAACATAAAGCTGGTAACAAGGAACATTGATGATATCAGTACCGTAAAATTGTTTATAATATATATTTTATAAAAAAAAATTGTTTATAATGTAAAATTCATTTTGGAATGGGATCATGGATCATCCTCGTTGTTTCCTTTTCTTTTTTCTTTTTTCTTTTTTTTTGGCTATGTAAATTGTAAAAGGCTTTTAAGTTCTAGGGATAAGAACATAAGGCCCAAGTTCATGGTGTTCTGAAACAAGCCCATGTCAAAGTACAATGGTCTTTTCAAGGCTAATACTTCCAAAAATCCAATATAACAAGCCTATTTGAACATGTTTTTTCACTTCTTCACGGGGCGGTTTGGTATTTTCACTTGCAATAGCCATTAGAATTACAGAACTGAAAATGAGGAATGTTTGGACTTTGGACTGCATACAAAAAGTTCAAATATGCCAAACAAGTTATTAAAAAAAAGAAATAAAAGAAAAATTAGGATGTGTAAGAATTGTTTACAAAATTATTTAAACATTTTTAATAAATCACTTTTACATGTTAGTTCTATTTAAGATATTTAAGCCTTTTATTATCCATTTTTAATATTTTAATTAGCAAAATAATTTTTGAAAAAAAAAAAGAAAAGAAAAATTGGATTTTGATTTTGCCCCCCAAAACAACGTAACAATAGTTTTTTTTTTTTTTTTGTCACTTAAGGAGGATGCTCGTTAAAAGATTGAATTTCATTTAGCAAAATCTCATGTTTGAATTGTAAGATAGGAAAAAAAAATTTAATAAAAAAATAAAACGGCATTTTTTTTAATTTTTTAAAAATAACTATCGGACAATTGGTTTTAATCAAATATTTTGAATTATAAATATTAATAATTATCAATTATGAAATATCAATTATCAATTATCAACTATTTTAAAAATTTTAATCTAAATAACCTATAACTTTTATTATATAATTCATTTAACAAACAAAAAAAAATATAATTTTTTAAGTATAAAAGGAATAATAATTTTGTTTTTTTGTTTTTTGTGTTTTTTTATCTTAAATTGATTCATGCCAGTCAAATTTTGTGGCAGCTCTTAATTGCACTGGAAGAGAAGATTCACAACGATGGCCTCGCAATTAAGTTTCCTGCTAGTTGTTGGTTCCAATTTCATCATTTTTTGATCTAACTGTCAAAATTCATTCTTCTCCAACATAGGAACTTATCTCAACCGTCCAATCTCCCCTAATTAAAAAACTCTTTCTTCACACTCCTTTCCTCTTTCTGCTTGACACTCTCGCTGACTCCCTGCTTGCGGAAAACCACCGATCTAGCAATTCGCTCGTCAGTAGTTTTCCGGTGGACATCCTTACTTGGTTTTATACTCTCATTATTTTTCTTATTCCTCTTCTTCTTCTTCGAGTTCTCGTAGTTCTGAGCTAAGATTCTTTGATTTTTTTGTGCTCTCTTGAAAATTTGTTTCTAAAATTTGATGTTCTTAGTGATGTTTTCTTGATTTCTTTAAATTCATTAATTTCACTGAAACGTTCGCGTTATGATTTCAAAATGGCGAATTTGGGTTCTTCGATTTTTGCTTCATGAATTTCTTTGAACTCATCAATCTCCATACTTGTTTTGCATTGCAAATATTTTTGGCAATATTTCCTTAATTTCTCTTCATAAAGGATCGTACCCTTTTTTATTTTTTTGTTGTCTTTGGATTCGCAGGCAAATTGGGTTTTTGTATTTCATCGATATCTCAACAATGGCGGGTGAAAAGAATATCGAGATTTCTGGTTCTGGTTATGGTTTCAATTTGAAAAGTTTCCATTTTTTGGGGTTTTTTTTTTCTTATTTGTTGAACTGCAATGATGAGTGTTTGTTAATTAAATATTACAGCTGAACCTGTCAGCATAGTGTCAGAATCAGAAGTTGTCCCCAAATTGGCTGAGCAAGATGTGGTATGGCATTAATATAGCTAACTCTCAGATGTTTATTTGTGGTGCATTTGAGTGTTCTGTTATTGGGATTTAACTGTTGGCATCTGATTGTTGTTGATATTGATATTTTACGTGATTACTCTTTTGATAGGCTTCTGCCAATGATGGAGTATTATCTGATCCAATATCTACTATCTCTTCCTTAGATGCCACTGGCGGCATGAAAGGTGAGAGTCCTCAAGGTTTGGATGGAGAGCAGGGTGCCAATCCACCTACTAGCTGTTACAATTATTACTACCCAGGTTAGATGAAGGATGATAGTCATTTATCCCCAAACATGATCTTCATGAACATTGTCACAATCAGGGTACTTGATACTTGGGATTTGATTGCAGTTGGGATTAAGAATCATTCAAAACAGTTTGTTAGAAACATCATTTTAGTGTTTCTAAGTTTTGTATGATCAATTTGTTTATCTAAGACCTGAAGCTAATTTATTTCAAGGTCAACTATGTACAAAGTGGCTGATTGCTGTTAACTTTACTTGTAAGTGTCTGGTTCAATCATGGATTTATCTTTCTGGGTGTATCTCCAAAAGTGTCTGTATGGTTATTTTGAGCATTGGATAAACCTGGGTGGAAGTGGTTGCTGGCTGGATAGATTTAGTCTTGTTGATATTCTAAAGTTACTAAAAGCTTTGAGTAAAGAACATTTTTATCTCTCGTCACTAAATGCACTAGCAACATATGGGCTTATTATGCATGTCTTATTTGTGACTAGCAGTTGGGTTTAGAAAGATAGGATGTACTAACTTTTAATCCTTATATTCACATCTCTTTTTTAATGTCATTCTATTTATTCTTGGAAATAAAGTTCAACTTTGCGATCTTTGGCAGGATACAATGGGTCCTCTACAAAAGTTGATGATAATAGTTATACCACTACAGATGGTTCACATACAGTTCGTTCTTCCATCGGTTTCCATGTTTAAATTAAATCATATTTTCATCCCTTGAAAGAGATATTTCTATTCCACCTACATTCTGGCATTAGTAGAATAATATGACTTATTAATTCAAAATGGTAACTGTTCTCTTTCATGTTGATTTTACACCAGGATATGCAGTCAGAAAATGATCCACTTGTATATTGTTTGCCAGGCTACGGTCCCTATGCAAGTGGCAATCTAATGGGTGTTGATGGGCAAAATGTAGGTCAACAACCATTTTTTTCTTCAGGATATCTCCACTCTCCTGTTTCCCAAGGATCAGATGCATATTCATGGGATTCTACATATGTTGGAGATGGTTCCCATGGAAGAGGAGATGGTTATGGAAGAGGAGAATATGGCACAAGTTCTGCCACTCACTCAAAGTCAAATGGATACAACGCTATGAAAACAAATGGCAATCTTGGCAGTAAATTATCAAAGTCTGCTTATACACAGTCTACTAAACCAATAAGCAAGGTAGTTTACACTCAAATTTTGATTGAACAGTACCACTGTGGCATAAAATCATTTTTTGGAATCTAGATCAGTATTTGTTTTCAACCAGATAAGACTTTTATGGTGTAGATATTCATTTTAGTTATTTTTACATTCTTTTTGGTATTCTATTGTTATGCATGAAGAAAGGATGGAATAACCCTCAAACTGCAAAATTAGCTAATTCCTGGCCAGTGACTCAGAAGTCTTTTTCTAATGAGACTTGCCTTTCTAATTGCAAGTGACTTCAATTGATGCAATCTTGTGCTGTAAAAGAGACCATAAATTCTCCCCTGCCATCCCTCATCCTTTGCATCTTCCTTCCCTTAGTTTTTCTGAATCCCCCAGTTTTATATATTTAAGACTGGTAGTAGACTGAGAGTCATTAAGTTCTTGCTATTTTATCATGTAAACTATTTATTTTCAATGATGTTAGAAAGGAGTTGCTAAAGGTGTTTATGCAATTAAATTTCTTTAGGCTTTCAATGCTTTGATTGTCAAAATTCAATGTTACAGGTCCCTTATTTTATTTCTAATCAAGCAGCAGGCTCTTTCAAGGGATACCAATCAGCAGGAAGGTACTCGTCATTTAATAACCAAAGGACAGGTGTTTACCCACATAACAGTCCTACAAACTACAGATCAAATGGAAGACATTTGAATCAAAATGATAGATACAAAGCATCCAACTGGAATACTGATTTTGAAAACTCAGCAGAGCTAACTCGTGGTCCTAGGGCCTATAAGAAGACTGTTCCATTAGATTCTTCTATCAAGAGTGAAGGATTGGGGCTAGCAATACGGAAAGATAATTATAACTTACCAGATTTCCAAATCGAGTATGAAAATGCCAAGTTCTTTGTTATTAAGTCCTACAGTGAAGATGATGTCCAGAAGTGCATTAAGTATGATGTGTGGTCAAGTACTCCAAATGGCAATAAGAAGTTGAATGCAACATACAATGAAGTAGAAGCAAGAGAAAGCGAAAATGGCACAAAATGTCCTATCTTCCTTTTTTTCTCGGTGAGCAGACTTAATCCACATATTTTATTTTGTATTCTTAATTTTAGACAAATCAGATATTTTTCTTCCGTTTTTTTTTTTTTCTAACTTTTGGTAGGAAATTCCTATCTTGCTTATATTATCTTATATTGATAATCCTAGTATTGTCTTGACATTGTAATTTCAGGTCAATGGAAGCGGGCAGTTTGTTGGCTTAGCTGAGATGGTTGGGCAGGTGGACTTTAATAAAGACATGGACTTTTGGCGACTCGACAAGTGGGTTGGTTTTTTCCCGGTTAAGTGGCACATTATTAAAGACATTCCTAATCATGAGCTGCGACACATCATCCTAGAAAACAGTGATAACAGACCTGTAACTTTTACCAGGGACACTCAAGAGGTATTTTGCATTTTTGCTAAAGTTTCTCCCCCTTTTTTTTCGGCCAATGCTAATTTTTCTCCCTAGAAAACACCATTCTTCTGCATGGTAACCTACATTGAAAGTTATTCTGTTTGTGGGCTTAGTTTCCTTGTTTATGTGTTGTGGCATGATTTGCTAGAAAGGGGGATTAGACTAAGATGCTGTAGAAAAGAACTTGTCATACAAGAAAAGTTACAGCCTGTCGCTGTCACACAAAGAAAGTTACAAATGGAGGAAACACCTCTTGGCTTGCTTCATATTCTCTCATTTGTTCTTCTCATAGATAATGTACTGAATGGAATGCCATGTTGAGAAATTTGTAGAAATGATGTGGAAGTTAATTTTAATGCATTTCTCATCATTATTTTTCTTTCTCATTTTCCTTTTTCACTGCACATCCCACAATTAAGAGATTATAGGGAATGAATTGCTAAGATTGTCTTCTTGAATCACGTCTCTCCTCTGTGAAATTGTTCTGCCTTGTGGTGTATGCATGTTCATCAGCACTTTCAAGTTTCTACTCTTGAAGTCTCCTTTTAGCTTAGCATGATTATAGTTAAGAACTTTTTTGCCAGAAAATAGCAATTCCTTTAATCAGATTGTTGTTAAGATTATTGTTTTTATTTGTTCTTGTGGTTTGCAGATTGGTCTCAAGCAAGGCTTAGAAATGCTGAAAATTTTTAAAAGTTACAATGCAAAAACATCATTGCTTGATGACTTCATCTTCTATGAACATCGACAGAAATCTCTTAATAAAAAGAACACACAGCCAGCAACGCTACGAATGGAAGTATGTGAGAGCGACGATTTCACTGTGAGTTCCCTCTCTAGCATCAAATCTACGTCTAAGTAGAAGCAATATGTTTTTGCATTCATGTTCCTAAGTCACCCCTTGTTTTGCAATTTTGCATTTCATTTCACCTTTTACTGGGATAAAAAATTCTTAAACTTGGCTGCCTCCTCCATGCAGGAGCAAACAAAAGCCAGAGAAAGGAAAGTAGGAGACTTTCCTTGGACCAAGAAAACTGCCGATGCCTCATCGCTTATCAATCTCACCAAAAATCTCTCCCTTAAAGGAGAGGCAGCTGCAACCCAAAGAACAATGCAGTAAAGAATACAGTGGAAAATTCATTAGCTTTCTGTATCTGCACCGTAGGGCATTTTAGAGTTCCCATACAGGAATTCAGCTGAGATGTTCTTTCGGTTTTCTTTTCATTTTCCCTTTTCTTTCTATGTTCATTCACAGCAACCAGAGTTTGAATTGATGTTGGCATTTGCTGGAGTTTATTTTCGATTCACGTATAAATCACTTTGTTTTTCTTAAGCCTCTATTTGGTTATCAGTTTCCTGAAGAAAACTGTCGCCGTTTCTTTGCTTAACGGACTAAACCAACACTTTTCTTATGTTGCCTTATGCCTTAAAATAATTTTTATTTTTGATTTTGAATTTGTTTTAAATTAATTATTATATTTTTATTTTTAAAAATAGATAAATATTTTTTATTTTAATTTTATTATTATTTATTTATTTTAATTAATTATTTTCTCATAAAAAATTTATTTTATCTTTTAATTTTTTAAAATATAATATCTGTAAATAAGAAAAATAATTTTTAAACTCTTAATTAAAGAAAGTAAAAAAACTAACAATTATTATGAAATAAAAGGGTTATTATAGATGAATATTTTTCCCGTATTATATATAAATATTTTGTTTTAAAATGGAATTCATTTCTTTAGCCAAACATATTTTCTAAGTCTCTAAGGTTTTCTTTTCCGACAAACATGACATAGGAAAACTGTTTTTCAGGAAAAGAAAAGGAAAACGTGTTCCCTTGCCAAACACACACTTTGTTTTGTTGGGGTGGTACAAGACACTTGAGAAAAGTCACCTGAATAATAATTTTTTTTTATTTATAAAAATTTGTGAATTGATATATATATATATATATGTATATATATTTTGAACATGAAAAACTATGGATAATGGAGAAATTTTTTGAGGCTTTAGTGGGAATCAAATTTCTAATCAAATAAACTCAAGTGCTAGGACTTAAAGATAAATTATTGGGTTTGAATATTTGGTTCATATTTATATATTTATTTATTTATCTAATGTTACATAATTATTATAAAATTATATTTTTCAAAAAACATTGTACCTAAATAAATTCTATGCTTAAGATATGAAAAAAATAAACTCTAATTTTTGCATTGAGGAATACATATGTAAACTCTACTTATTGATTTGGTAATTTTTTATTTTCTTGATAATCTGGTATTTTTTATTTGATTTTGTCCTGCAGATATAACATTGTTTTTGGGGAGTATTGGTTGGTGATGTTTGGCACCATAGAAAAGAGAAACCTAACTAGGTTTAGTGGCATCCCTGGTTGGGATTAGTACAAATCCTCAATCCAAGCATAATCAACATCTTTAAACCCTAACCTAAACCCACAAATCCTACTGTTTCCCGGGGTTTTTGAGAAATCCAGTCAAATGGCAGAAAATCCAAAGCACTGTCTCAACTCAGCACCTGAATCTCCCAAAAGACCATCAAAGATAGCTAAAACCCAAGATTACAGCGACGAAGAAGAAGAAAAAGAGGAGGAAATACAGCAAGAGGAACAAGAAGAATCGAGCATGAGCAAAAACCCTCGAACCCAGCGGTATTTGGTGGCTATTGAGTATATTGGGACTCGTTTCTCCGGCTCCCAACAGCAGCCCAGTTTTCGTACGGTCGTTGGTGTATTAGAGGTAGGTAGCTTCTTGTTCTCTGCTTGATTCTTGAGAAAATGAAGAAAATTCGAGGCAACCAGATTTTTGCAGGCCCAACAATAAATAATAATAATCATAATAATAAAAAGAGCAGATTTTAAATTTTGGGTTAACCTTTAAATGAGCAAAATTAGAGGCAAACAGATTTTTGCAGGCGAGAAAAAAAAGAAGAGGCAGATTTTAAGTCTTGGGTTCACTTTTAAATAAGCAAAAAAGCAAACCGCTCAACCGTGTGGCCAATGCTATGCAATTTTCATAACATTTTTTTTTTATTAACATCTTATTAAGGCATAACAATGTGAATACTGGGTTGTGTGGTGTACTTGTAGGATGCTTTCCATAAGTTCATTGGCCAGCCAGTTTCAATATTTTGCTCAAGTCGCACTGTAAGTTTATGTTTTCATGCTTACCACTTTGGTTTCTTAATGAGTTATTCAATTTATTGCATTGTTAAGGCATAAGGCAATAGACCAATGTTAATTTCATGAAATAACAGGATGTGTGAGTGTAAAAGCAAGGATTTTTCTTCACTCTCCTTTAGACTACTATGATTGCACAAAGGACAAGCATAATTTTGTCACCATATTGTCCTTGTTACTATGCCTTTTATTTGGGACATGACACATCTTGTGTTCATAGGATGCAGGAGTACATGCCTTATCAAATGTTTGCCATGTAGATGTTGAACGCATAAGCAAAAGAAAGCCTGGTGAAGTGGTATGTTATCTACTTAGAACTATTTTATCTGTTTTCTTCTTCTTTTTTCTTTTTTTTTGGGTATATGTTTTTCCACATGCTGTTCTTGCTTAATTGAAGTTGAACTATGCATAGGTTTTATTAGTTTCTTTTTTTCTTTTTTTTTTTTTCCATTCTTTTTATTTTCTTTTTTTTATTGGTAGCTTTATTTTCTTCTATGGATTTCAATGTGCGCTCTGAAGAGCATTCAACTTGTTTGGTTGCTTTGCATATTTAAAATCTCTAATGCAACTGGTTAGGGGTTAGCATCTTGCGGTTGTTGGTAGTTTTAAAAATATTGCTACAATGTCATTACCTGGTAATAAAGGATTTGGTAGCATAATATTGAGCTTACATAGCCAACAAACGTGGCACTTAAGGTTAGAAAAACACCATCACCAACCTGTACTACAGCCTTTTCTGTTGTTTATATATGTCTAGTTGCTCCTGTTGATTGTAGTGATTTACTAAGATATGGGTTTAGTGTTTGGCCTGGTAGTAGAACTATGGAGGTCCTAATGCTTGATAAACAGTTTCATTTGTGCTAAAATGCAGTTACCACCACATGACCCCGCTGTTGTTAGAAGAGCTGTGAACCATTTCTTACAGGTTTGGTTTCCAATCTTGCAAGCTCAAGACTAGCAATTGTGCTTGTCTATATTATCTTTATTTGTCACTAATGCAGGAAGATTGAACATTATACTTTGCTAGTCAAATGAAGTAGATTGGTGCACGCGTAAATTTTTCTGCTCATTCATTTATACCAAGTTTTAGTAGAGAGCTAACAATTGTTGTGACTCACTCATTCCTGTCCCTTATGTAGCTGCTAAAAGTAGATTATCTTTTCAAATTTTAGTTTTGAGTTTTCTGCAAGTATTTTTGGTATTCAATGTGCCTGGTTGCTATATAAGATTATGGTCTGTGGCTTGATCTGAATCCTCTCAGGAATTGGATCAAATCTAGCTGGATGCTGGCTGGCTAAATGGTTATTTAAATTGCGAAGACATCAGAAATATTGTTGAATGCAGTGCTTTGTCCCCAAATGAAAGTTCTTTTTTATCCAGCTTAAAACAAAAATAAGCGTATTTGGAAGCATGGATGATTGAGTTTCTTTATGTTTTTAATTCTGAATCATGTGTGGAAGTGTTGAGTTTATTCTTATGAGTTCAAATTTTGGTTAATGTCAGAAGAATGAAGGTGATATTTCAGTTATTGATGTTCAATCTGTTCCAAGTGATTTTCATTCAAGATATAAAGCTCTGGAGCGCACGTAGGTATTCATGAATTTAACTTCTCTTCTTAAAGATAGGATGCTCATGACTCATGTGACATGTCTTTGCAGCAAACATGTAAAGCTAGCACAGACACTTTTATTTGAGCCACCATTGCACATATAAGCTTTCGACTTCAACTTTTGCCTCACCCACTGAATGCAAGAGGACATTGTAAATATTATAAAATAAGATTCACAGGGGGTACTTGCATGACACAGTAGAGTTCAAGGGGTGTAAATATCTCCTGCATTTAATGATTTAAATTCTAGAATTAGATGTTTGAACTTGTTTTTATTTGCGCAGGTACTTCTATCGCTTGTTATCTGGTCCAGAACCTTTGTCTGTCATTGAGAAAGACAGGGCGTGGCATGTACCTGAGGAGCTCGATCTTCGTGCAATGCAGGTAGGTTAAGATTTGTCTTTGCCTTTTTTTTTTTTTTTAATATTTGATTTTTTTCTTTTCCACAAAGAAAGCATACTAATAGATTTTCATGCAGGAAGCATGCAAAATTCTTGTTGGACGCCATGATTTTAGTTCCTTCAGGGCAGCTGGTTGCCAGGTTGTTTACTTGTTACTCATTGAATTCTACATGTAGTAATAGAATCTTTTTCCCAATGACAATCTGTTTAGTTTTATTTCTGTTCTCTGCAAAGTTTTAACTAAATAATTATAATTATGAAAATTTTTAGATGTTTACTCCATTTTTCACGTTGTGGCTTAATTCAAGAGATGCTGAATTTGTAGGCAAACTCACCAATCAGAACTTTGGATGAGCTCAATGTTACTGAGGTTCCTTCAACTCCCTATTTTCCATCAATTGTGGATAGAAAGGTGGACCATTTAAACAGAGAAGATCCTCATGTATGCTCCAATAAGGCTGAGGTTAACCTCCCTATTAGTTCCTCATTTGATAGTGACAAAGTGGTTGGCTCCAATGGTGAAACCAACTTCGGATTTGGAATAAGGAGACGGCACCGCTGCTATGTTGTAACTGCACGTGCTCGGTCTTTCCTTTATCACCAGGTTTGGATTGTTGCTATGTCTGATTTTCATCATCCTGTTTTTAATCATTTAAGAAGTCACTCTGTTATCCCAGCGTGCTTCATGATTTAATGATTATTGATTGGTAACTGATTAGATTATCTCCATCTTACTGATTAGAGTATTTTATAGAACAAACTTGCTCCATATGGATTCCTCCAACTTTTACCAGCTATTCACAGAACCTTTTATGTAAACACAAGTTAAATTTCATACAGGTCAGACTGCTTGTTGGTGTTCTTAAGTGTGTAGGCACTGGAGAGTTAACAGTTCCTGATGGTATGTTCTATTTATTCCAACAACTTTATACACACCTAGGGAATTCTAGTCTATCTATGAACTAATCATTCTGTTTTTGGCATTCCAAATGAATGATTCCAGTTGAAAGAATTCTGAATGCAAAAACAGTGACAGCTGCAAAGCCCATGGCACCTGCATATGGTCTTTACCTTGGACATGTAAAATACGATCTGCCATAGAGATGCAACAATTCCCATTTCTTCAGGAAAGCAACATCAACATCTGCTTTGGAATCTGACGTCGTCTTATACGTCAACAGAAGATACTTCCCTAACTCTCAGCTCATATCATTGCAATGATTCTCGCTATAATTAAATTCTGGTTTTAGTTCAACAGCTTAGGGATTGATTGGTGCCGTAAGCCTCTTTTAAACTAAGCACGAATTCTGGTTTTAGTTCAACAGCTTAGGGAGTGATTGGTGCCGTAAGCCTCTTTTAAACTAAGCACGAATTCTGGTTTTAGTTCAACAGCTTAGGGAATGATTGAAGCCGTAAGCCTCTTTTAAACTAAGTCTGCGATGCTTTAAATTTTTTAATAGCTTTGAAGATAGGTAAGAAGTTTGATTTTTGAAAATGATTTTTTCCAGTAATTATAGTAATATAAATGTGGTAATGGTTTCTTGCATGCATGGAACGAGGAGGATTTGCCCTTTCTACCTTCTAAATTGCCAAAAGTTGGTACATAAATGAAGGGAGATTCAATCAAAGTTATCAAACTGTTGTACATGCCTTTCCTCCGGGAATTCGATTTCTTAACATGGTGGAATACGTTGTAACCAGAAGGGACCATGATTCTTGGGCCAAAAAATAAAAATTAAAGGGAGAATGAGAGGCTGAATGGTTGACAACCTACCATTTAGAACTTGTAGTTCACTTCGATTTTCTTTGTTATAATATTGCAGTATCTGGCCAACCACCATCTGCATTTTGACAGATTTTCCTAGAGAATGGATGGGAAGTTGAACCACACATGATAGACAAGATTCGTGTAATTTTTCCCAACAACATATGAATGGTTGAACATAATAGATCATCAACCTGGCGAGCCAGTACCCTACACTTGGTTTCTTATATAAACCCAAGGGCATTCCTTGTTTTCCTCACTCAAAAGCAGAAGAATACACTTCCTTGTTTTAGGGCCTGGAATCACCAATGGCATCCCTCAACAGCTTCATCTTGGCTTTCTTCATGGCATTGGCATTTTCCAGTGTCAACGTTGGCCTAGCAGCTCGCCGGCTTCAGCAGTTGCCACCATTACCGACCATCCCCAAACTGCCGCAGCCAACAATTCCAACATTGCCACAGCCTACAGTGCCAACATTGCCACAACCTACCATACCAACATTGCCAACTCCCCAGCCAACTCTACCTCAGCCTGGTGCTCTACCACCACTTCCCAGCATCCCTACCACCCTACCATCCTTCCCAAAGGTTACTCTGCCACCACTGCCTAGCATTGGCTCAATTCCCAACATCCCTCTCCCATTCTTCTCTCCACCACCTGCCACCACTAGCCCTTGAGAAGATGCAGCTTGTGTCATGAAGAACAGGGTTTTGGACCTTGCCATTGATGACTGCAGTTGGCTGTAATTTTACCTTTCTATACCACCATGTGAGATATATTACAGGCTTTGAATCGTTTGTTTCTGTTTATTTCATATTTGTATGCTTATCCTAGTGGATTTTTCTTCTTTTGTTTGACACAATTATTGTTGTACCCTATATCTTATTGTGTGATTTTATATTCATCATTATATTTATGTTCTGTATTTATATTTTTCTACTGTTATCTAGATTTTCTCCTTGCCCTTCAATTTCTCAGGCCAAAAAGATAAATAAATAAAAATTAAGGGAAGTCAAGAAAAATTGAAATATACTAATTAACAACAAACACAAAAGTTTGTAATTCAAACTGTATCAAATTATAAAAAAAACTAAGTAAAATCATATGGTTAAACCCCTGAATTAACTCCAAATTTACTATTGAACCCCCAAACTCTAATTAATACATATAAGCCCCTAAACTCCATGACCTGAGCAATTTAGATTTAACTTTTAATTCTTTAACTACCATAAGAACAAAGGATAAATTGCTCTAAGAATAAAGACTAAATTGCTCAAATTGTGGAGTCCAAAAACTTGTATGCATCAATTAAAATTTGGGGGTTTAATAGCAAATCTGGGGTAAGTTCTATAGTTTTGCCAAAAAAAACAAACTACTAGATTAGAATGGTGCAGTCTAGACTATAAAACACTTGATTCAATAAGACTAAATATCAACATTAAGAGAGAGAATTAGCACCAAATTGACCAAGGATGGTAAATCTTACATCTAATAGGTTCTACCAGTTTCTCCTGCGCTTCTCATGTGCTACTTTACAACTATAGAAGAACAGAAATATGCATCATTCTAGAAGTTAATCACCAACCTTTGGTTCAAAAATACAAATTACTAAAGGCTATACCCCAAAAGTCAAATCCTCTTGACAAGGGACCTAATAATATTCCACAGCCAGGCATCTTAAACGGAGGTTTATTTCATGAAGGTCTCAATGGCTGCTTGAATTGAACTAGTCTGAGAAGACCCTTGATGTTGGAATATGGAATGAGGACCCCTCCAAACAGAGTTCTGATTGTTAGGAAAGAGAGTTTCGCACAAGTTCAGAAGAACAGGATTTTCATGATAGAAGCTGTTTAACATCTTAGCTTTATCTTGTCTCTCTTGTGATTCCTGTAATCACATCAAAACAATTGACTCATCACATGATCCAAATGCAATAAATGAACACCATGCAGAGTGGTACATCTGAATCCATACAAAGAAATTTGGCTGGCAAGACACGAGGAAGAAAGAAAATTAACTTTAACCAAAAACCATCTGAAGCTTCCTTACTACCAAACTAAAGTTTTATCTGTGAAATGTCTCTTCTTAGTTCATTCTAGTGTTCAATTGCAACCATTATTAGAAGTTTATGATGGACTAAAGCTACAAGCCTTCAACAAATAGCAACCAAGGATGAGGCAAAGTGTTATGTTCCTTTTTCTTTTCTTCATCTCTGCATTAAATAAGCAATCATCCCTAATTATGTTAGTTCTTTATCTAGTTCTAATAGTAATCCCAATTTCTACAGTAAAAAAATATTCCTAAGTCCCTTATTCACTAATATATATATACCTTCATCATAGCTAGCAATAGCTTGCATGAATAGAGCACCAATATGTAAAAAACTGTTTCTACTGACATGGAATAATGTTTTAATGCATCCTAAAACTTACAATTTAATTAGGCTTTTCACCACCATGATTATCAAGCTGAAGCAAGAAAATAGATTTCATTAATTATGCTGTGAAGAAGGGGGAGCTGAAATACCTTATGCCTCTTTTCACTCTGTTCCTCATGCTTTACTAAAGTAGATTCTTTCTCACTTTGTGCCACTGCAGCAGACTTGTCTACAATTTCAGGCTGAGATTGTCTACTAGGTTCCTCTGCCAAACTACTGCCAAGCTGTGACAGCTGTTTTCTTTCACCTTCATCTTTGCCTAGAATTCTTATCTCATTGTCTTCGTTCTCATCCTCTTCCTCTTCCTCCCCATGACTCTCTTCCATAGGGCTATACTGCTGCTCATTAGCCTCCGCTTTCACCTTCTCTCTTTTGTCTTCCACCTCAGCATCTTCATCTAGATCTGCTGACTCACCATTATTTAATGATGAGTCCTCATTACCAGGGCTCTCTACAGGTGAAGATTCCTTCAATGAAGAAAGCCAAAAATTTTTTACTTAGTAGTAGTAGTAGCCAACAGCAGAGAATTAGATGAAATACAAGACTAAGAAACATTGTAAACATAAAATTCAAAAGTAGATACAGTAATATGCTTCTTTTTCTCAACTTCATGTAAATAGCCAAGAAAGAGAAAATTTTCTACATGTATTAAGATAATGCCCAACAGCAGTGTTGAATCTGTCAATCCCCATGATTTTGATTAAAGAAGAACATAAATCAACTAAATAGCTGTCTTCTAATTAAATGCTTCTCTGAGAAAAAGAGTGCCTATTAAATGTGTAAAAGATTCAGTCTAGTCATCACTCAAACAATATATAGCTTACCTCTTGCTTTAACTCTTGGACTCCACTCTGGCCTTTTGCAAGTCGAGCATTTGCCTCACGCTCTCTCTTGCGTCGCTTCAGAACACAAACTGCACATAAACAATCACTTTTGTGGCGCCTCCTGCATATGAAAAACAACAGATAGTGAAAAACATGTCTTATCAAGAACCCTAGTAGAGTAGCAACTGCCCGAATTACATGCACTGAAAGACGTTAATCATTGGTAATGTTAGGGAAGACAAAAAGGGTCAAGAAATGAGAAAAAGAAAAAATTCTATGCTTTCTACTTTGATTAGTTGATAATTATAATATTGTTTCACAACAAAATGCAACTCTCTTCACTCAAGAGAGTGATGATGGAACCTTTTGCTTTTGACTACCATCATCCACATTGTATCTAAAGATTTGGCTACAGCTTTAAGTAAATGAAATATGGTAGAGAACAAAGTTGAAAATCCCTTTCCCACACAACCAACATTAAGAAAAGAAGTTAGCACAAAATACCCATGCTTTTTATTTTTGATCTTTGACTGACTAGCTTTTGTCTGTGCTTTTCCCTGTGCACCATCCTCCACTTCAAGGTTTTCAGCACCTGACACAATAGATATGCATATAATGATAATGCTTTCAGAAAGATTGACCATGATAAAAGCATAAGGAAGAAAACCAAAATTCCCAAATTAGGAAGTATCATAGATCAAGTAGGATGGCCTCACCATTTGTTCCCCTTGATTGTTCACTGTATAAACTTGCTGCTGACCAATACTTCATGAAATTCTTCTTCACACGTTTCATTAGGTCCATTATGGCATCACCTTTGTTGTTATACTTGCAACAGTTATCCCAGATATATTGAACATCCTTAAACACATCCTCAGAATTCATGTACTTGTCACCCTTTTCAAGATTGCTGCATATTGTTCCAAAGTCCATTGGTGTGTCTATGATGTCTAAGTAATCCTAAAAGAAAGATAACAGATGTTAACAACTGACAAGTATCATTTCACAAAAGTTATTAAGATAACATCACCAGGCTACATAGTTATTCATGCTTACTGGTATCCCCAGAGCTTCAGGATCCACAGGTTCATTGAAGGGGGCAGCAGCTTCCATTTTCATCACTTTTTTAATCACCTGGTAAAGATAAAGAACAATAGTAATTATCATAAAGGATTACTCATAAATCAATCAGTGTAGGAACTTCCTATAGAATAACAAGAAGAACAGGCTGAACAGAAATTTTGTTCAAAGATTGAAACATACCGCCATGGCAGAACCTAATTCTTGCTTATTATACCGAGAATCCTGATTTGTCACCTTTTGTTCCTTCAGCAAAGATGTCTCACCCTGTGCTAGAACAGCAGCACCACCTTTGTCAACACTTGAATCACCCAACTTCATTGATGACTTAATCTTAATTTTCCCAGATTTCCTATACACAATGCCTGAAAAGGCCATTTTCCTTTCCCCAGCCAAGTTACCACTGTCCTCCACTTTCTTAGTAACCATGTCTTGTCTCTCCAAACCCACTTTTGGGCTACCCTTCTCAGTATCACTATGTGATGGCACATCAGAATCTAAAGCTCTTGGTGTCTTGAGCTTAACCTTAACGCGCCCAACCAAATTTCCTAGGGCCTTACCAGCAGGGCCATCAGATTTTATGTTTACAAGATTCACTAACGGCTGATCAGTCCCAGTTGACGAAGGTGTACCAACCTCCATTCCAGACTCAGTTTCATCTTGACCAGAATCATCTTCCTCACTAACAACATTCACAACTGCCTCACTTGGAGCTGTTGTAGCAGGGGCTTTCTGTTTACTGCCTTTCTTGTGCCCTCTTTTTCTCTTCATAGTCTAACACAAATTGGTCCTCTTTTACTTCACTAAAACAACCAACACCAAAACTAAATATCATCAATTTGAACAAAGGAAACATCATATTCATTCTTAAACCAAACATTATGGAAAAGTAAGTCGCTTTAAAGTAAAAGACTATAGTATAGCCGAAATTATACATCTTTTAACTGGAAAAATCAGTTCTTTCTAACAACCCATTAACGGATTCTAAAAACCCTAAAAACTTTTATATATTTCCTCATAAAAAAAGCATGTCCCAATTCCCATCGAAACTAAAAGCTAGACACCATTAAACCAAACCCCAGAAGTGAACAAGAAACAATTAAATCTAAAACTGCATTTCTGCGTTAATCTTGCTCCAACCAACCGACCTGGTCCGTCCGTCATCGACGACAGTAACACTCATATAAAGAATCGTCGAGAAAAAAAAAAAAAAAAAAGCAAATTTGAATTCGGAGGGAAACAGAGCGTACCTTTCCGACCAAAAGAGAAGGAAGAGAGACAGCAGTTATGTTGAGCTTTCTTTTTGTTTTGTTATTATTATTATTATTTTTTAATATGTAGTTTTCGGAGAGATTAAGAGAGGGGTCGTATCATCGTGTTTTCTGGATTAGGGCTTAGGATGTCAATTCGATGATGAACTACATCCGCGGTTTATAATTTAGTTGACGCAGCAAAGCGGCGTCGTTTAAGCGTCATAAATAAAACTAAATTAGAATTCTCAGTTGAAAGTGGAAAGGCTGTTTCTGATAAATTATTTTACTTATTTTTAATTAACTCATTCAATTTTAATTTTATGCTTGAGATTAAACAATTAAAGTATTTATTTATGAAAAAAGTATTTTATAGAACAGACTCTGTATTAAAAGTATAGTCTATTTGTAAATTTATTAAAAATAATTTTATTTAAAATATTTTAATAAAATCATAAAATAAAT